CTAGAAAAACCTGTAACCAACCTTGAAGCATAAAGTTCTCTGCTAAATGCAGTTGGTCCAGCTTCTTTCACTTGGTCCACGATTCTGGAAGTCTTCTTACTGGTTTATACAGGGTGAAAAGTACAATTCATTTAGAATACCTTAGGTGATGCAGGTGGGAATCTTATACAACTCTGGCAGGAGCTGCAGCTGGACCTCATAGGTGTTAAACCGGGAACTGGAGTGGTTCCGCGCAGCTGTAAGAAATGAGCTACCTCATTGTCCCCTGGATGGCAGGACTTCATTGATCCTCATTTGTGTTACAGTGACCCATTATACTCTTTCTTTAATTCCACTGCTCCTCTGTTACCAATTGCTTCACCCTCTACTTTATGTGTCTCTTCTCTGCCTAGTGTCATAACTTGCCCCTCTTAGGGCTTCTCAGGGGTTTTTCTGCTGCCTTCTATTTTAGCCTCTGCTCCCAGCACATGATTGATTTTCCCTTTCCATTTCCAGTTAAAATTCTTGAAAGAGAATGAATGTTGGTAGTTACTATCATCCCTTTTGGAGTAGAGTGTTCACATCAGGTCATCTTTTAGGCCCAACTGCCCTCAGGTTAATTGGTTCTATGAAAGGTGTTGTATGGCACAGGTCATGGCTTCAGCTGCCGCCTCAGCTGGGGGCACTGGCTGGAGTAGCTCTCTTAGAAGGGTAATCTGACACAGCAAGACGGAATGACCTCTTAGGCACATTCTTTTTGTTTTGATTTTTTAAAAATATATATATTTTAACATACTTACCCTAAAGTAACATTTTTAATGTTTTTTTTTCAAAGCAAAATTCCCCTTGCTCTTTCATTTAAAAAAGTCATGTTACATAGAAACAAAGAGTAGATTGGTGCTTGCCAAAGACTGAAGATTGGGGGAAATAGGGAGTCAAAATGGTGGTCAAAGGGTACAAATTTTCAGTTACAAGATAAATACATTTGGGAATGTGATGTACAGAATGGGGACTATGGTTAACAAGACTGTATTGTATACTTGAAAACTGCTAAGAGAACAAATCTTAGATGTTCTCACTGCACACAAAAAAGAAAAAGAAAAAAGAGAACTGTATGAGGTGATAGATGCACTAACTAACTCTATTGTGGTAATCATTTCACAATATATATGTGTATCAAATTATCACATTGTACACCTTAAACTTATAAATGTTATATTCAATTATATCTCAATAAAGCTGGAAAAAATAGTCTTGTTACCTAGCTATTTTCTTCTGATTTTAATGGAAATATATTTGAGCTAAATTTTTCTTAAAGTTCCTGTAGTTGAATATTATAGGGAAAATGTCCATACTTTATAATGTTCAACTGGCATTTTAATAAACTTATTTGCAAGAAGGTAGATGCATTTTAACAGTTAATGTAGAATTGTGCTACAAATATCAGAGACTAGCAAGATGGGTAGGGAAGGTCTGAAATATGCTGACTTTAATCAAGAAGGTTAAAAGCATTTCTCTTTTACAATAGAATGTTCTCAGGCATTTTCCTGGGTTTTGTTGCTAAAATATTAATTATATTTAATGGTTAACTGAAGACTCTTATTGTTGAAAATTATTTTTATATACACAGATTGTGATGAAAAAGAGAATGAATTACAAACAAGTTTGTGTTTTGATTTTACTCTGACTTAGAGGAAAGATAACTTAAAATGCCTTCTATATCATTTTACCACTGCAAAATGGGAAGTGAAGTCAGGCAGTAAACTACTTCCTGTCTTCTTGCAGAAAGGAAACAGATACATAAATATACATAGGTAGTCTTCAGTCACTCTCCTCTCAATATTCATCCTATGCACAGTCCCGATTTGGCATTAGTAAAATGTTATCATGTCATTCTCATGTTCTCAAACCTGGGTGTATGTTGCAATCACTTGGGAAGCTTTTAAAATAAACCCTACATCCAGGCCCCATCCTCCAATTTTCTAATTGATTTGGTGTGGGTGTGGTTTGGACATTTATATTTTTGAAAGTAATTCTAAGGAGCAGATAGAAGCCAATGCACAAAAGGACAGAATTTGAACATTTGAGTTTTCATTTAAGGTGCTATATTATTTATCCCCAGCCTAGCTTGCCAGGTTCTGGCCAGCTCAAATGGCCTCCCATATCCTCTGTACATTGCTTGTGCTTCTCCTCTTTCATTTCTTTACCAGGCATTCCAAAAATTTCCTCCTCACACATTCAAATTCCTGCCCATTTTTTAAGACCCAGATCAGTTTTACCTCCTTTGTGAAGTCTTCCCTGACTGCCCTTGACTAGTGGGCTTGCTCCCTCTTCTGAACTCACACAGTAATTATTGCCTACAAAATCATCTGAACAATGAATCAATCATATAATGCTTTGTGTCACCTCTTCTATTGTGTTAAATGATTAAGCTTTGCTTAACTTTTCATGTGTTTGTTATCCAGCTACTGTGCACTGTGAGCTTCTAGCATTCTTTTGTTTCCTTGACAAGCTGAGTGCCTTGTATATAGTGCAGGAAATCAATAAATATTTGACCCTCCCCACCATCCCTACTTCCACAGGTGTGGTTCAGGCCTTCTTCTCTTCTGGAGTCTTTCCCTGGTCCTAATGAGCCTTCCTGACACTAGACTCTTTGGCTCTTTAAATCAGGCCAACACATGGTGGCTCACATGGCCAATGGCCAATAAAAACTTTCTCCAGTTTTTACTGCTTGTGTTCTCTATGATGTCAGGGTAAAACAGTCTGTAGATCTTCCTGTCCCCATTCCTTTAGGTAAACACTTCCCCTGGCCAGGCTCTGGCCCAGATGACCTAAATTATCCTACCAATCCTCCACTAGTACCCTGGTCTGATCTGTCAAGATTCTACACTGGTTTTAGGATTCTTACTCTTTAAAAGAAACCTGATTATGCTGTCCACATGATGAAAAGCTTCTGATGGTCCCTCATTACCTGTAGAATAAAGTCTAAGCTTGAGTTGTCCAGTATGGCAGTTATTAAAATTTGAATAAAAAATTGAGGTCCTCATCTATGTCATATTTTAAGTGCCTGATAGTCAGTCACATATGGCTATCATATTAGACAACATTAATATAGAATATTTCCATCTTTGCAGAAAGCTCTGTTGGACAGTGCTCATCTAAATACCTCAGTGTAGCTCATGAGGCCTTTTATAATCTCATCTCATCCTTTTTCTCTAGGTTAATTTTTGGCTGCTACTCACCTTTCAACCCTACCTACTTTTTCAATGTTCCCCAACCACTTGGGTGCCCTTTCACAACTCCATGCCTTTGAACATGCTGTTTCCTTTTCCTGAAATGCCCTTTGACTTTCTTCTCTGGTAAACTCCTATCTACCTTTTAAGTTCCAATTCAAACATCACCTTCCTTGTAAAGTTTCCTGACTTTCTTAAACACAATAATTTCTTCCTCTATGTTCCTATTGCTCTTTGAACCTAGCTCTGTTGCTCTTATCACTGCATTTTGTTATTATTTGCTTATAAATCTGGTTATGCTCTTGAAAGGGAGATCCTGTCTGCTTGTTCTGTAGATCTGTCCTAATGATTACCTAAAATTGTTTGCTTGACGCCTTTCTGATATCAAGTAATATATTTTCATATTGATGTGCTTGGCATGTTTGAAAAGATCAGTTGTTGCTTTAGAAGTCTTTCCCTTTCTAGTATAAATCTAGAATGACTTCCTGTCTTCCAGGTTGAAGGTCCATTTTTCTTCTGATTAATTGCATTTGGGCTTGAGAGGGAAATGGTAGGTGAAGTTGACAAGATCAAAAACGGGGGGACTATATGTATGAGCTGGTTCAGATGTGCTCAGGTTCTAGCTGTTACACAAAATAATGTGTGTGTTTGGAAGAAGAGTGGAAGAGTAAGGAGGGAAGATAGACTTAAAAAAAGAAGCCCATGGAAAGTAAATTGGGGAATTGTATTTGACTAAGGAATAGTGAGAAGAGTTTTTATTACAATTTTGCAAAAACGTAAATTTTTTTTCCTCCTGGAATTTGATAAGATTTTGATAAATTCTTGTGTCTTGAATTACCGGGAAGTAAATCCTCCTGACCAAGAAATTAAAATATCAATTAGTTTCTCTTCTGTGGTTATGGTTAACATCACTTCGAAAGGCTTATTTTCTTCTGAGAGGGCCATAAATTCTAACGACTCAGAGACTAAGAGATCTTCACCGATCACTACTGCCTAGCCCTTGCCGCAGATCTTACAGTCAATCATCTCGACCTGGGCGCTCCGACCACGCCCACCTAAATCGCCCTTCCTCCCACCTCATGGATCCGCCCCCGGACTAGGAGACAAAGAGCCTCATTGGTGGAGAAGTTGTTCTGGTCCCGCCCAGGAGGACGGCGATAGGCCGAACTGGCGTGGGGCGGTGGTGGTTGGCTGTCTGAGGATGGGTCCCTAGTGGTGCCTGTCAGAGTGGCTGGCGGCAGTGGCGGCTCTTGGAGCTGGGTTGTCAGTCAGTGAGCGGAGGGGGAAGATGGCTCGCCAGGACCCGTTTTACTAAGAAGAAGGGGGGGGCAGGGGGTGCTGCTACTCGAGAGAAGGCAGAGCAACCGCCGTCGCTGACGCTGCGGGCCAGACAAGTCGAGGTTCTGGAGGTGGAGCTTGGGGAGCCGCTCTGGTGAGTCCAGCCGAGCGACCCACGGCGGGCCCCCAAGGCGGCCGGCGACCGATAACTTTTTTTGTCAGGGAGGAGCCGGGGCGAGGCGGCGGCTGCGAGGGGACAGAGACTTTGTCCTCCAAGCGGTGACTTCGTTGGGGGTAACGGCTCCCGCGCGAGGCTTCGGGGCTGGGCGCGAGCCGGCCCCGGGCGCTGGAGGCGTCAGGGGGCTGGGTGAGTGAGCTGCTGCCGGCCGCTGCTCGCTCCAAAGTTGGGCGCAGCCCTCCTGCAGCTGCCTGGGCGGCGGCAGCTTTGTGCGCGCGGACTCGGGTCTTTCTTCTTGTGGGCGAGGAGCGGTCCAGACTCCGGGCGTGACCCAGGTGCCGCCTCCTCTGCCGGACCGGCCGCCCCTCTGCGGCGTCGGCCTGGGGTGGGAGCCCCTCATCTCCCACGCCGCTGCGGCTGATGCTCGGGCCTGACCTCTCTCACCCCTCCCTCCCTCTCTCTCTCACTCCAGCAAGGCTACCGCTATCCGTCCAGTCTAGTGGCCAAAATAAATGGTCACTGTCGACCGCCCACGTCTTTGAAAACAGCGTTCCCTTCGGTCTTTGGTTCCCCGCAGGACGGAGAGATTCAGAAAGCAGCTACGATTCCTTCCTTAATTATTACTCCTATTTTTTTTTTTTATGAGTTATTCCTCTCCCGAGGCTGGTTTTAACACACCCGGAATCGTCAGGATTTTGTCTGAAAACTGTTGCATTTAAAGACCCCAAATTTGCATGCTTCAGCAAAACTGAGTATCCGCCCTTCAGTGGGCACATGTGTGCTTCGTACACACAGAGTTTAGACGTTCTTTAAAGGTTTTAATTTTGCCCTCGTGGTTTCGACTGCACAGAATGGGTTCTCTGATGGAAAACACTATACCACACGCCCGGGAGCCGCTCCTCTCTTCAGGTAGGGGGAGTTTGTTCTGCTGGTGCTACTACTACTTATCTCAGAGACCATACTGCAGGCGGTAGGGCCAAGCTGTTCTTTTGCATATTATTTGTCCTTTGAGTCACATGTAGTTTTTGCCACCTCTTTGGTTCTTGTAACACTTTACAGTTTGAGATTTTCAGTCCTTAAAAGCTTATCTGCATAAAAGCCATAAGGATCGGTATAACCTTGAGTCAATGTGATAGTTCTGTGAGACTTGTTTTCCTTAAGAACATTCACCTAACATCCACACTCTGTACCCACTCCCGTCCCAATTTCTAATCATTTTTTTTTCTTCTTTAAGTTAATACGTTTTAAGGTTTGCGAGATGACTATTAGTCCAAAGCACCATATTTTTAAAGTGCAGGGAAAGGTAAGAAAGAAAAAAATGTCTTTAAGATCTGCTTGGTGAATAGTAGCTTCAGAGCCAATTATTCAAATAATTCATTTAAACAAAGTGACAAGGGGAAAACTATCACATATTTAGAAAACAAATTCTGGATTTGGCTTAGTTTATCCTTTTTTGGTTTACTATGATTATTACCATACAGGGATTGTAAACCCTCTTAGTTATCAGCACCTGGATTTCGTTATCCACATGAGGCATTGGCTGGGTCAGTATGTTATTCCTGCTATGCTTCCTTTCTTTGTTGTATTTCTAATTTTTGAAATCTGCTTTTGGTTGTATTTTTCAGAGTGGTGTCATTTTGACAGAATTTAAAAATATCTTGTAGCCAACTGTTTTATTCAGGATCCTGTTGCCTATAATTTATTTCACAATGAATATTAAGAAATCTTTAAATAATGTTAGAATCAAGACCACTTTTTAAAATTTATATTTTGTAAATAATTGAAATGTCAAACAAATTTATTTTGTACTGCTCCAGGCTGAATAGGTAGTAGAAATAGAGAAATGAATGTCAGATCTCTCGTCATCAAGGAATTTACTGTTTAATGTACAAGACAGGTAAGTAAAGTAATAATTATAATACCTGTGATAAATATGATTAGAGATATGCCTATGTAGTAAGGAAACAAGGTAGGAGGTGGCTAACTCAGCTTGGATGTAGGTAGAGTCAGGAGAGCTTTGAGGTATGATATAATTTTGCCAAGTGCAGGAGGTAAGTGAATAACTTTTCAAGAGGAGAATATAATTAGTGAGAAGGCAAGGAGGCATGAGAAACTATGGCAGTTTAGAGAAGTCATTGTCAATGACAACTCCAAAGTCAATAACATTGACATTGACATGACTTGAATGCAAGAACTAGGTAGGGAAATGTTGGAAGATGACAATAGTGAGTGTGGTCGAGGGCCAGACCAGGCATTGTATCCTTGGCTATGGTGAATTGGATTCAAGGTGATGAATAAGAAGCCATTTAATGGAGCTGTGTCTTAGACCCTCACTCTGGCAAAATGAGGTAGAATCTGATAGGTCTTGTCACCTTCGGGAACAAAGAAGGAGGAATCAGGATGCTGATGAATTGACTTGGTTCCACTGATTGGAAATGAGGAACATTCTATTTTGGATTTTTTGAGTTTGAGGAAGCTGTGGAGCATTCAGGTGAATATGTAAATGTGTGGATCTACAGATGTGGAGTTTATAAAGAAAATCAGGATTAGAAGGAAGCTTGAGGGTTAACTGAAGCTTATTGATTTGGTTATGTTGAAGTGACTCAGGGAAATCCTTAGGCTTGATAAAAGAAGCAGCTAGAGAACAGACTCTGATATAAAGCAGAAATAGATAGAATAGTGTGGTAGAGATACAAGAGTATTTTAGTATTTAGTAAGGTATTTGGTATTAATATTTAGTAAGACCATCAGGAGAGACTGGAGAGATTTTCAAATTGAGGGGAATTGGGTCAACAATTTTGAATGTTGTAAAGAGGTGACAAGTAAGGAGAAGACTCCAGGGACTAGCGAATTTGTCAGGAGCTCATAGATGTCTTTAATAAGTACAGTTTTAATCTATGAGAAAGGAGGCAAGAGTATACAATGCAGTAAAGACAACCTCTTCAACAAATGGTGTTGGGAAAACTGGACAGATACATGCAAAAAAGTGAAACTGGACCACCTTCTTAAACCATATACAAGAATAAACTATAAATGAATTAAAGACTTAAATGTAAGACCCGAAAGCATAAAACTTCTAGAAGGAAATACAGGCAGTAAACTCTCTGATATTGCTATTAGTAATTTTTTTCGCTTCAAACAAGGGAAACAAAAGAGAAAATAAACAAATGAGACTATATCAAACTAAAAAGTTTTTGCACAGCAAAGGAAACCATCAACAAAACGAAAAGACAACCTACTTAATGGGAGAAGATATTTGCCTACGATACATCTGACAAGGAGTTAATATCTAAAATTTATAAAGAACTCATACAACTCAGCACTAAAAAACAAGCAATCCAATTTAAAAAATGGGCAGAAGACCTGAATAGGTATTTCTCCAAAGAAGAAATACAGATGGCCAATAGACATATGAAAAGATGCTCAAGGTCACTCATCAGAGAAATGCAAATTAAAACCACAATGAAATATCATCTCGCACTTGTCAGATTGGCTATCATCAATAAATCAAAAAACAAAATGTTGATGAAGATGTGGAGAAAAAGGAACCCTCGTACACTGTTGGTGGGATTGCAAATTGGTATAGCCACAATGAAAAACAATTTGGAGGTTCCTTAAAAAATTAAAAATAGAACTACCTTTTAACCCAGCAATTGCACTTCTGGGTATTTATCTAAAGAAAACCAAAACAATAGTTCATAAAGATCTATGCACCCCTGTGTTCATGGCAGCACTATTTACAATAGTTAAGATATAGAAGTAACCTAAGTGCCTATCAATAGATAATTGGATAAAGAAGTTATGGTACATATATACAATGGAATATTACTCAGCTATTAAAAAAGTGAAATGTTACCATTTGCAATGACATGGAGGTGAGTGAAATAAGACAGAGAAAGATAAATACCATATGATTTCACTTATATGTGGAATCTAAGTAACAAAAGAAATGAACAAAGAAAAAAGACTTACAGAGAACAAACTGGTGATTGCCAGAGGGGAGTGGGGTTGGGGACCTGGGTGAAAAGGTGAAAGGATGAAGTACAAATTAGTAGTTACAAAACAGTCATAGGGATTTAGAATTTAGCATAGGGGATATAGTCAATATAATTATAATGGTTGTGTGTAGTGCCAGATGGATGCTAGAATAGTCTGGGCGATCACATCATGTGTTGTATAAATGTCTAACTTTTTAAGATAAAAAATACAGTTTTAGCTGAGTGGTGGTTCAAAAACCAGTCTTCAGAAGATTGAGAAGGAATGGGCTATGATAAAGTAGATGTGCTTGAGTGAGACATGTCAAGAAAACTGAAGTAAGGAAGGGAGAGAGGAGAGAATGATAGCTATAGAATAGTGGTTCTCAAGCTTAGCTGCACATTTACAATCATATAGGGAGCTTTTAAGAATCCCAATTTCCAGGGGGAAACCACATACTAATTTGTGAGGTGAGGTGGGACCCAGACATCAGTATTTATTTCAACAGCTTTATTGAAGTATAATTGGCATATAATAAGCTATACATATTTCAAGTGTGGAGTTTGACATATGTTTACAGTCATAAAACCATCACCACAATCAAAATAATGGATATGTTCATCACCTCTGAAAGTTTTCTCTTGTCCCTTTGTAATCTCTCCCTTTCATTCCCTGGAAATTACTGACCCTACTTTCTGTTACTATTGATTAGTTGCATAGGTATTTAAAGTTCTCTGGATAATTCCACTGTGCAGGCATGTTGAAAACTACTACAGAGGGTTACAGATTGAAGGAATAAAGAATGTTATGTTTTTTTCTTTAAGTGCATAAGGAAAGTGAGAAGTAAGATATTTAAGAAAGATGAGATATTTGTTGGAACTAAGTCCCTGAGACAACAGAAGTGTTTGAAATTTGGAACTTTGACCAATAAGAAAGGAAGACAATTCTGAAAGCAATATCTCTAACAAAAAAATATGTTAAAGATAGTGTATTTCCTTGTTATCAGCATCAAAGTTGTCATATAGTATCAAGATTGGTTCTCTGAAGTACTAAAAAAATTAGCATTTTAATATTATGAAAATAGATGCCCTTTAGAAAACTCCTTAAATGGAGCCTGAGACCCCTGGCACTACCATGTGATGCCAGGAGGGGAGCAGATGAAATTAACAGTTTGATTATCGCTCGTTGTTGAGAGTCAGAGAACTGCCAGACTCTTTTTGGCCCTTTCAGAGTTAGGCTGCATATTTGCACTGAGGAAAGAGAACATTTAACATTTGAAAATCTGTTTACAGCATCTTTGCTCAGAAGAAATCCTGCTTGCTTGCCCTTTGGGTCTATGCCTTTAAAATACCTTGGGGGAGAAAATCATTCCTCTGTCTCCCGAATGAGACAGAGAAGAGTTGTGATTAGAAGTGGTCAGAAGCCCACACTTATACTGAGAGAGATAATACCTTTATTCCCTATATCCACTCTTTAGAAAAAAATGGCTCAGAATTTGGATGTAGGTTAAAGCTGAGTCCCACTGATTCTGAGGTCCAGAGCTTGTTCCTCACTCTTGATCCTTACCTTTGGCAGGAGTCAGAATGGCTAATATCTAAGTATTTTTTGACAGTGTACTTGATCATAAATAAAGGTGGAATGAAAACTTGTCATCTGATTGTTTCCTAAAGTCTGAAAATTCATTGTGATTAAAGTATCAAAGTATGTTCTGACCTAGAGAGGGTAGGCTCCCTAAATTTGAGACAGCCTAAATAGAGTGGGAATATCAATGTTGGCATGATTTGGGATACTATTGTTACTATAGTCACAGCAATATTATAATGTATTTTCTTGCTTATTAATATAATAATAATTGTAGGAAAATTGGAAAATTTAAGAAAGCATAAATGATAAGTAACATTTATAATGCCTCCACCCAGAGATGATTATTATTA